CAAATGCCATTTATTGTGGTGTGTGTAACTGCACCTATTATATACAACCATTTCCAAGAAAGGCAAACTTTTGCAGAGCCACTGTCAAATAACCAGCTGTTGTTGCAGTGTTCAGCTCTGCTTTGGTCATGCCAAAAACCTCAAATGATCATTAGTCTTTAGCAGTTCTCAAAACCTGAAATTTCAATCTCAAACCTGCTCCATTGACGCTGGTGGGGGCATAGGCTTTTTTCCCTTTAAATTTCCAGGTTTTGGAGGCCGGCCAGGAGGAGGAGGAGGAGGACCTTCCAAAAAAACAAATAATTTACAGTAAATTAAAAAGTTTGTGGTAACTGTGAGGTTTAATCATAAAAAAATTCTTTAATCTCAAGTTGGGCCTATGTACATGCATTGGTATTGTTTTGATCACACAGCCAAACTGTTATTTTTGTGGTAACACAACAAACTTGTGCATAGTTACAATATTTCACTGAAGCACAAATTTCCTGACCAGTAAATGAACACAAAAAGTTAATCTTATAATGTTTGTGGCTATGGTTTATTAATTAACTGTAAAGACCATGGCAGGGTTGTTGAAAGTCAGTTAACACTGACCCAGAAATAAAAGTTAACCAAAGTATTACTTTTCTTGTCTGAATAAATTTAAAATGTTTTTCATTGCTTATGTCTTCTGTAGTTTGAGATTATTCAAATTCAAAACTGAAGGAAAAGCAATAAGTTTATTATATAAACAGAAACTTAACTGAAATGTTTCAAAACTGAAATAAGAAACCCTCTCACTAATCCTGGGTTACCCTAGTTGAGCTTTGAACAACCTGGCCCAAAAGCTCATATATCTAAACAAAATGTTCCGTAGATTATAAACAAAAGATGGAGTGACAATTCAAAATGCTGCAATTATTTTCAGAGAAAAGGACAATTAACAGGCAATCTTATCGTACCTGCTGCATTGTCTTTGTCGACGTACTTTGGGGCCTGATGAAAGAATGATCATAATATATATTAAATATATGCAGTTACACACAATTTAATGGAGTTAACAACAAAGAGTGCCTGCATTCCCGTAGTTTTCAGCGGTGTTTTGATATGTGCATACACTAGGATTCCATGTGCTCTTCGATTCAGATGTGTTGGCAGCCTTCACAGCGATAGCATTTACGGTGAGCATTGTTTTGCATGGGAGCATGTTTTCAAGCGTTCCCTCTCCTTTCTCTCCCTCTTTTCACAGTAAATTCAGTGTGACAGGCGTCTGTCTCCCCTTCCGTGTGGGGACTCATTGCTAGGTTTCCAGGATTTGCCAGTCATGGGAGCAGTCTTCATCTAGGAGCTGGCTGCCTATAGTGGAAGCTCCTAGATGTCTCAGGCACCCAACCTTCATTTAGCGATGCAGTTGTGAAACTCAGTAAGTACATGCAACACTGCCAAAATTCCACTGGCATAAAGGATAATATTGCAGGAAAATGCTCTTTCAGTGGTTACAGTACTTGAAAATAAGTACAGAAACACCCAGTTTTTAATCACACTTAATAGTGCAGTACTTACAGTATCTTGCCATTCCAAATGACCTGTCCAGGCTAGGGCTCTCTGAGCTACTTGTGGATTTTCTGAGCTTGCAGCCGGTACACCTCCTGGAGTAGGACCTACCCTTGGTTGTTGGTTGGTAGGCTGTGTCCAGTTTACTGATGCCCCAGTGACTGCATCCTGCATTGGACTGGGCTGAGGCTGCACACTGTTAGGAGTTGTATTCCTGTCTACTTAACAAATGGAAATGTGGTTTAGCGTGGTCTGTACCCTTATCGACAATGATACACGTCATCACAGTGGTCAAAATGTTGTGGACTCTCGAGGCGCAGCTGAGTGAGTCCACAACAACAACAAAATAAGTTTGACCACTGTGATAATGTGTATTGTTGTCAATAACAGTACAGACCACGCTACACCACATTTCGATTTCTTTTTTACCACAATCAACATCCAAGAAATTGGTTTTTTTTTCTTCAGAGTGCGAGCTGAAAAAGGCATTGTGCGATGCACTGATGTGAGCGGCGTGGCCTGGACTCTTATGCAGGGCTCGAAATTGCGACTCACTGGTCGCCAATGCGACCAAAAATTGAGCAATGGCGACTAAATTTTCAGAACTGGTCGCCAGCTGGCGACTCGCGTTTTGTCCGATAACTAAAGAAAACCACGACACAACTTTTGTTTTTAAATCTTTATATTAGGAAATCAATCGGATATGGTAGCTAGTATACAACTCACCTTTCCGTCCCCAGTAAAATAATGTCTGAATATTACAAGATAATCGAAAAAATTGAATGTATTTCGACGCGTCGATTCTGCGTTCACGGTGCGCCATATTGTTTCAGCGGCTTCTTCCACAACTGGGATCGCAGACGCACTTCAACACCATGTGCTTTTCATTTGCCGCGAAAATGACGGCAGATACCAATCAGTTGAAGGAATAACGTGAGTTTTTACGTGCGGGGAATGAGGATTCAGCCAAAAGGTTAATCCAAACTTTGAATCCTTCATCAGTTATTGTTTTCGCTCTTCAATTGTGACTTTTCTTGCATGCAAAGTAACGTATCGTGTTCTTGTGTAAGTTATATATAAAATAAGTTGGCGACCAAATTTACGATCTGGCGACCAAAATTTTTCCGTTAGTCGCCAGCTGGCTCCCGAACGAAAAAGTTAATTTCGAGCCCTGTTATGGATGATGGCAAATTAGCCAATCAGGTTGTGAGATTAGCAGCAATTGTTTTTAAAATGTAATTGTAAACAATTTCATTTCAATGGCTAAATAAAACTAACTGTGTGACAGTAATGTATGCAATTCACCAGTCTTATTTCCAAATTATCTTCTTTGTGCAGAGTACCAAAAACTGCTCTAATCACACATTCAAAAAGAATTGATCTTAATGATGGAGATGTCCCTAATGGTCAAGTTGTCCCTAAAAAGAGGGGTGCACAGCACCCAATAGGAAGAAAGCTTGAAGATAACAGGAGTGTCAATATTCAGGAATGGAAATCACCAGGTTTCCATTATTTTTACCAAGTAGAAATTGTACACTGCTGTGCGTTTGTTAAGGCCACTTGCTCAGATCACAAGCATTATCAATCCCACAATAAAAGAAGAAAGTCTCTGCAAAGATCCCTAATGACAGAGGTGTCTGTAGCAGTACATGTAAGTGATGTTTATAAAGGTAGAGGTGTTCATAGTGGTGACAAAATTGAATTTACTTACAGTTGGCTTGCCTTAGTGCTTGACTTAAAATTTCTTTAGCTTTTTGCTGTGCTGCTGATGCATTGTTGTTTAAACTTGTGGCTGGTGTTGCTGAAGTTGAGTTTACCATCAACTAAGAGCAAAATAAAAGTGTGAAAACTAACAATCAAAAGAGCCTCACCACAGCTGCAATTTTGCTAAATTTTGGTCATTTCTTGTAGCTGCTTACTCCCAGGAATGAGCCGATATGGTCAAAATATAGGTTAAATAAGCTGACTGCTGTAAAACTGTAACACCTGTGATAGTACACTGGATTCTGGGTTGATAACCCTACCCATTGCTCTGCTGTTGAACATCCAGTTTGTAAAGTTTCTGTCCCGAGACCTACAGTGTAAGTACAAATTAAACTGCAAACAAAACAGATATGTAGCTAAGAGAAAACTATTACAGTAAAAGTAAAAACCAAGTAAAGTGTACCCCTCAAGATTACATTAATGATTGATTATTTGAACATTGAACCCCGCTAATTGTTTCAAGAATGCAATAATGAATTGATTATTTGAATATTGAACTCACTAGTTGTTTCAAAAATCAGTATTAAATTGATTTTTTTTGGAACATTAAACCCATTAGCCGTATTCTTGGAACGACTAGTGGGTTCAATTTCCAATAATCAATTCATTATTGCATTCTTGAAACGACTAGTGGGTTCAACATTCAAATAATCAATTCATTAATGTAATCTTGAGGGGTATGCTTCAGTTGGTTTGACTGTAAGAAAGCTTTTCTGGCCTGTAAAGCTTAGGAATTATTATCCAAGTCTTCAACGACCTCCAGAAAAACTGCAGTTGGTGATAAGCTCTGTTTAAGTGGTGAAATTAATCAGGTGCTGGCCACTACAACTGTAGCTAGATCTCTGCTTAAGCAGACTGGGATGGTAGTTATCTTGAGTTACTGATTGTAGATCAGCATCTGATCCAGAGGAGTATACATATAGATGTAGGTTTTTTTTTTTTTTTTTTTTTGCTTCATATTCAATGAAGGAGAAACCGGTGCTACCAAAACATGTCACTTATTTGTAAAAGAACACTGACAAAATAATATATGTGTACATGTGTATGTAGCTCAGTGACTCTTCTGTGGTATTTGGATTATTGCTTGCAGTCTGTTCCACGTTATAAGGTTGAATATATACAGTACCTGAACCTGTGAAATTGGGATATTTGGTGTTGGTCCAATATTTAATGGTATGTTACTATCTGCCAGCTGAAGTAGTTTGGTTTCAGTCAATGAAGGTTGGCGAGGTCCGGTCTTTTGTTTCTTTACTGGTTTCTCTGGACTTTCTTTTACTTATAGAAAAATGAAATGAATGTAAATTACATACATGAGCATTTCAGAAAATCTGAATTTCCAAAATGTGTACCACAACCTAAAATCCCTGAAATTCTGGGTAAAAAAATCAAATGCAAACCTGCAAATAATTTTTGTCTATAGGCAGGTCATTTGTCAGGACAAGGACCAGTTTTGACCTGACAAAAAGCCAGTCTGGTCAGACAAAAAAAAATTGTTTGTCGTTTGAGATTAAAAAGAGACATTTGAGACATTTTGGTATTTTAGTATAGACTCTTCGCCAAAATATTGGTTGTAAATTTGAAAAGCTTATAAGTCAACTGAGTGTAAAATCGCTACTAGCACCAGCAAGGGGACCTTTACATTACTTCTGGTATTATTTTACCTGTTGAAAATTGACAAATTTACAAACGTCTATACCCCTAGTCACACAAGCGTTTCCAACGTGACAAGTTTCCCAAGACGTCTAAGGAAAACGGGAAAAGCGGTGAAACAATCTCCTGCGTGGACATTCAGAGACTTGAAAATTGGCTGAAATGAATTCTTCAACTTTTTCTGAAAGCAAGTTTCCTCTGGATGTTTTTGAGGTCAATTGAATAAAAAAATTGCATAATCATTTAAAATGTGGAATTGGAGGTGGTCGTGACTATAAAGCGTGACTAATCTGTACATTCACGCTTTTCACAAAAACATTTCTGTGGTACGGAAACTATATTTCAACCACACTGACAGACGTAAAAAAAACTATAAGAGTTGAAAATCAAACTGATTTTTGATCATACGGACTAGAAAAAGGTTACGTTTTAGAGGTTTTAAAGTTTTTGAAAGCGATTGTATTCAGATACTAGTAAACGAAACGTGAGTATTTGGGCCGTGTATTCAATTTCCATACTATTATAATCGAGTCAATGTGTTACGACTGAAAATTAGTTCCACAACACTTGGTAGCAACAAACAACGAGTAATTACACAAGACCTCAGTTTTTAGTAGTTTTTCAGATGAACGTAATTCAGACTAAATGGGGCTTCACGATCTTTCACAACGCCACCGCAAAATGCGTAAATTAACATGTAGGGATAGTGGCACTGATGTATTGTATTTACAATTCGACATAATTATGACATTTGAGAAGACGCAATGCGCGTGATAAAATTCTTAGAATTGGAATAAAAACAAAACCGATAACAAAGCTTTTTTGCGTAGTATTGTGTGGCAGTATAACAAAATAACTTGTCCC